GGGAAGAAGTCAGTAGTCAGAGAATGATTAAAAATATAGAAGAAATATAATAACCAATGAAATAAAATCCTTGGAAAAGCTGATGGAGGTTGATCTGAGAGCACAGGATTAGCCTTAATTAAGATTTTGCTCTTTCATGAGGAAAAAAGATAAAGGTCATCACAAAATATAGGTGTTTATAGGGTTTGTAAGCAGAAAGTTTGATATTAACAAGCTTGACCTTATAAAATACAAAGTCAAGCTATATGCTACTAAGAAATTATGTTAAAAATTATTCCACCTAAAGTGGGGTACAGACTGACAATCCTCTGAAGAGGGGGTGGAGGAGAGATAAACCACAGAACTTACATGCATGTATGTATGAACAATGGACATGAACAACAAAGGTGGGGACAGGGTGGGGAGGGAGGGTAGGGGGGAATCAGTGGGGGGGGAGAAACATCTGTAACAAAAATAAATAAATTAAAAAATAAATAAATAAAAGTTGATTCTCTGAAATAAAAAAAATAAAGTTATGGAAATATTTTAAAGAAAAATTTAAAAAAAATTATTCCACCTAGCATTTGAGTGCTTAATATATGCTGTGAAACATTGAGTTTTTTGTTTTTTTTTAAAAAGTATCTCATTTAATTTCATCCTACAATTCTATGAGCAAAGTATCATCACTGCTTAACCAAAGAAAACAAGCTTAATGAGTGTAATTAACCTGTCTAAGGTCATGGAAACATTAAGTATCATATCAGAACTAGTCATGTGGACCTAGCTGGTTCTTACTCCAGGCACTCATGTTCTTGACTGCAGTGGTGGTGAGTTAGAGGCGTTGAAAAGAATGGTGGGCATTTGGTAGAATGGGCCAGAGATTATTGTGGACAGGTTAGAGAATTGTCGGTTGGCACTGGGTGCAGCCATAGCTGGAGACCATAAATCTGTGTTGGCTGCACAGTTAGGTTGTTCCTAGCAGCAGTTAGCAGCCTAAGTGAATGATTATATTAGGGAGAATTAGGGTGGAAATATTTTAGTTCCAGACTGGGTAGATGAGAATATTAAGGCATAGCCTAGCAAAAATTCCTGAATTCTAAGGATAAAAAGAAACCCCTATGAGATCCCTAATAGAAAATATAAGAAAATGCCCTGGCCAGATGGCTCAGTTGGTTGGAGCATCATCACATATACGTATACCAAAAGGTTTTGAGTTAAATCCCAATTGATATTTCTCTCTCCCTCTGTCTCTCTCTTTATCTATCTATCTATCTATCTATCTATTTCTATTTCTTCCTGTCTCTCTAAAAATCATAAATATATCCTCAGGTGAGGATTAAAACATATATATAAGAAAAGGAAATAAGAGCCAGACTGGCTTTGGACTTCTGTAAAACTGGACAGTAGAAGACAGTAGAATAGCACCTACAGACCAGTGAGTAGAAAAGAAATGCAACCAAGAGTTCTGTACCTAGTTCTTTACATGTTGGAAAAAAAAGGAAAGATATTTGAAAAGAATAACTTGAGTATATATCACCCACCCAAGAAAAATACTAGAAGGAAGAGAAAGTAACAAAGGGATGAGAAGAGAGTCCTCAGGATGGAGAAAAGATAGAAGTAGGTGAGCAATGAAATATGGACACAATCAAACCTCATGTGCAAAATAGGGTTTCTTCTAGTAGAAAATACATAATACGAGGCTACAGAATAAAACACGCTAAACTATTTCTGCAAAATTTAAGATTAATGGGAAGGGGTGGTAGGAATTGAAATCATTTTAGTCGTTTTATCGTATTGATATAGACAAGCAGTAGAGAAATAGAGCATTTTGATGGGAGAGAGAACCTTTCAAGTTTCCATCTTACGTAACTAAGCACTAAACTGGATAAATAACATTTTAAAATAATAAATATCACAGTTAAAAAGGAAGGTAACAGTCAGAAATCTAAATACACAAGCAACATAGCCACTAAAATGTAAAACAAAATTATTAGAAATACAAGGGGAACTTAAAACATGTTACAGTGGAAGAAAGAAATTAATATGCTCATCTCAAGAGGATGAAATGATAGAAAAAAGAATGTAACAGAGGAATTGAGTTAATAAAATTGAACATAAATATACACTCATCCCTCAAAGAATAAACTTGTTTTGTATGTTTGTGGAACATTAACAAAAATCAAAGATGTAGTTGGAATCCTTAACAACTTAACCTCAACAAATTTTGAGGAAATAAAATAGATTTTACAGACCACATTCTCTGGTTACAAGCCAATAAAATTAGAAATATAATGATGAATAACTAAGACTTTAGGTACTTTAAATTTGAAGAACACATTCCTTGGCATGACTAAGATCAAAGAAGAGATCAAAAAATAAAACTGCAAACTATCTAGAGAATAATAAAAGCATGCTGTTCATTCTCAAACTGTGTAACCTGTACCCAGAGCAAAAAATTGCAGCCTTAAATTTTCTTAATTAAAGAAGAAATCTAAAAAGCAAAAGAACTAAGTAATCATCTTAAATCCAAACAACAAGAACAATTAACCAATATAAACTAATGAGAAGCAATTAAGATAAAAAAAAAAAAACCTAAGTGATGGATCTAGAATATCAAAATTGGTGCATACAAATTTCTAGGCTGATCTCTGTGCACACTCAAATATCAGGTATGTTGGAGGTCATGTGTGGGAATGAAAGTCGCATATCAATTCTGTGAAGAAATTTGGGCCCTGGTCATTTATCCCCACTCAGATTCCTCTCTGAAACCAACTGGTGAAGTTGAGTGGGTGGCCAGCTATGCAGGGCTCTGTGGAAGCACAGTCATACGGCTGGAGGGGGTTCGCAGTCATGCTGCCTCTCGTAGTTACTCCTACTCTAACACAGTTCCCCTAGAAGGAGATTTGTGAATCTTTGGGATGCTAAATCACTAAGAAACATCTCATTTAGAAAAGACAAGACCCCAAAACATAATTAGATTAGAGTTTTGTGCATTAAAGGTCATTATAGAAGAACAGATACATGTAAATTTATTTTATTTTATTTTATTTTAAGATTTTTTTTATCCTCGCCCGAGGGCATTTTTCATTTTTTGTTGTTGTTGTTGTTGTTCAGATAGAGTGGGGAGGGAGGGAGAGAGAAAGAAACATCGATGTGAAAGGGACACATTGAGTGGTTGCCACCCGCACGACCCAGCCAGGGCCAGGGACAAACTGCAACCTAAGTACGCGCCCTTAGCGGGAACCGAACCCGGGTCTCTCTGGACCGCAGGCCGATGCTCTAACCACTGAGCGAAACCGGACAGGGCAAGATTTTTTTTTTTCATTCTCCTGTATTCATCATACCTCTCTAGAATTGTCAGCAGCAGTTCTGTGTTTCTGAGGCTTAATAAAAGAGACTGCCATTTTACAGTAGGAATTTCTTCGTTTGATATTGTGTATTTAGGCGGTCTCTACATTGCTGTTGGTATTTACTGTGTATTTAGATGATCCCCACCTTTGTCCTTTAGCACTGTCACTGACAGTGATCATTCAAGATGAACAGATGCTGTTTATTTCTGACTCGGTTTGAAATGATGGCAATAATACTTTTGAATTATTGCTTGATTTGTGGAGGGGAGGAGAGGGGGGAAGGTATGCAAGGGTCTTATTGTAATTTTTTTGAAAATGTATAAAGCTATTTTATGGTAATAGGCCCTGTCTTCCTCTAGGCTTCTACTAATTAGAAAGTGAAGGCATGCATGCACGTGTGATGTGTGTGTCTCTATGTACATGCACGTGTGTTCTCTTTACAGAGTGCAAGTTTAGTGTCATATCTGATAAAATATGGGGAGGGGAAGAGAGGGCTTTAAACACTAGAAAACATCTTCTATAAGAGTTTGTAATGTTTACTATATTTACATTGGTTTCGAGGCCTTTTTTTATTCTAATGGACCCAGGAAAACTACTTGATATAATAATAATAATAATAATAACAACAACAACAACAACAACAACCACCCAGGAAAACTACTAGATAGAATAATCATAGTAATAGAATCAAATTTGTTTTAAATTTTTATTATTCTACTGGTTGGGTTAAGTTATGTTTGGAGGGAAGCCATGGAAAATAACCTTTATAAATTCTATGAATTATGTGTATAGATCATGCCCAAAGATAAATCTGCATCTATACATAACATCTCCCTTTTTATGTTATTTTACCCAGTTTTTCAAATTTATGATAATATAGCTAAGCTGATTATTGAACTGATTTTCCCCTTGTTTTTCACAGAACAACTGGAGAAATCATTTTATTTTATTGTTCATTTCTCTTTTGATAATATTAGCCTCAAAAGAAAGTAGCAAAAAATGTGTCTTTAGAGCAAAGAAAACAGTAGTTTGGTTTTACCTTCAGTATAATTCTGTTGATGGATATCTGAAAGCTTTTTTATTTGTCCATTCATTCCTGAAATCACATCACCCTAGCTGTGTACTGAGCCTCACTTCAAATTACTACAAAATGTCTGTGATGGACATTTTATCTTTGACCTTTAGCTATTTACCTTAATTATCATATACTAGCTTTTTTTTCTTTATTGATTTTTTTTTTTTTTTTTTTTAGAGAGGGAGAGAGAGAGAAACATTGATGAGAGAAAACATCAATTGGTCACCTCCTGTGTTGCCCCCCACTGGGGATCGGGCCCACAACCTGGGCCTTTGCCCTGACCAGGCATCAAACTGGCGACCTCTTGGTGCATGGGTCAACGTTCAACCTCTGAGCCTCATGGGCTGGGCTATATCAGCTTTGTTAAAAGTGCCCCTTAGGTGAAGTGTGTCTTCTCATTCTGAGCATACTTTTCAAACGGCAGGATGTTTTGTGACATATATGAAGCAGCAAAGAGTTGTCTTTCCTCACCATTCATTTCACTTGTTTCACACACCATCATGAATGTTCTCAATCTTTTCTTGTATTTTTACGTTTTATAAAGATGTGACATCTGAACGTGACCTTGTCTTTGTTTCTTGGGTACCCACCTGCAGGATGAATATAAGCCAGAGAAGTCTCTGTCTGAAGAGGATTTGAAAAATGCAGTGAGTGTGCACCACGCCCTGGCGTCCAAGGCCACGGACTACGAGAAGAAGCCGAATGTGCTTAAACTGAAGACTGCCGACTGGAGGGTCTTGCTTTTTCAGGCCCAGTATGTTTTGCTGGTTTGGTTTCGTCTTGTTTTTCCGTTTGCACAGGCCGACTTTATACCGAGAATGAGAATCAGGGTCTGCAGGGGAATTTGTTTGAGTTGGAGTCAAAGGCATTGGTTACATTAGAGAGACCGCTGGCTGTCTAAGAAAACTGAACTAAGACCTAGAAACCCTGGGCTCAAGTGTTTTGTTTGCTACAGGGTAGCCCTGTGACTTTCAGTCAGCTACTTACCGTCTCTAGAACTTCACATCCTTGTGAATAAAACACATGGGTTTTAGCAAACAAGGTCTGTCACACAATGAGTAAAATAAACCTGGGTTCAAACCCCCATCCCAGTTCTCCGTCCCAGCATGTGACTTAACCTGGACCGCAGCTTGCCACTAGCGTGGGTGATCACGGGAGTCTCAGGGTTCCTGTGAGAAACGAATGAGATCCGGTGTAGAAAGTACCTCGCACAGTGCGAGGCACATAGAAACTGTGCAGCAATAAGTGTAGATTTCCATTCATTCTCTCTCTTCTCTCCTTCTGAGCTAATCTGCGACTGAACTAGGAGGGAAAGATAAAAGCCTACTGTGGGCAAGGAAATAGGATGGCATGGCAGTTCAGCGAGGGGGCACGCCAGCCTTGGGCTTTGACGTGGAACATTCCATGTGGAGAATTCTGGATTTGTGCAGTGAGAAACTGGATTTTCCGAACTGAGCCTCTAGAACAGGAATTTTAATAGGAGGGCACATAGCATCGGTGTTCGTGGCAGACTGTTAATTGTCCACAGCAGACCTTTCGCAGCCTAACTTGACTTCAGAATCCCTCTGAGCACTGCCAGTGGACCACACTGGGCGCCGGGGTTCATGTTCGACATCAAGATAGGAACACAAGTATCTGCATGCTTACTGATCAAAACAACATGAGATCCAAGAAAGAAATAAGAACAAGAACAGGTACTCTAGTGATTTGTGGATGTTGGACCTGAAAGGGTATAAAATTGCTGCCATCAGTGAAGAGGAAGTTGTAAGGAGATCCAAATTGCACAGGGTTTTGTAGCGTGGGAGGAAGGCCGTGTTAACACCACAAAGGGAGCCATAGCCAGCTGTGTAATTACAGTTATTAGTAATAGAAGTCCTTCAAATTATTCTATTCCCCAACATTATTTTATTTTCCGTCTAAAATACCAGATATAATAGCTAAGGAGATGCAATTACTTCAGATAGAATTAATGCCAAAATCAGTCCATTGAAAGCACAGAACTGACGAGATCAGATCAGAGAGACACCGTGCACTAGAGACGATGCCCGTGTGACCTCAGGGGAGCGTGGCTTCTCTCCAGGTAGGCGGTGCAGGAAATGATGCTGGGTTGGCTGACATTTTGTCCATCTGTTTATTGATTATATGCACAGTCGATAACCTGTCCTGCTTCACGACCATCTCTACCACTCATTTATGAATTCCCAAATAGTTATTAACTGCTGTCCATTCTAGACTCTGAGAACAGGTGACATGTAAATTAAAGTATGACAAGGACATCAGATGCCCACATCCTCTGGGGTAGATTCTTTAACATCCTGTGTATGTGTTATATTTACCATTTAATTTCATAATTAATTTGTACAAGTCCGTGACTTTTAGCAAATTTGCAGAATTGTGCAGCCACCCCACAGTTCAGTTTGGGAACACTTCCATCACCCCAAAGAGATCCCTCGGTGCCCACTTTGAAGTCACTGCCAACCCCAGACACCACTGTCTCCTTCCTGTGTCTGTAGCATTGCCATTTCTGGGCACTTCCTCTAAATGGAATCATATAGTAATATAGTATGGGTCTTTTGTGTCTGGCTTCTTTCACTTGGCATTGTTTTGGGGGATCGTCCACATTGTAGCGTGTGTCCGCACTCCATTCCTTTTTTGCTGAGTAGCAGTTGACTGACTGCTATATATCGCATTTTGTTTATTCACTTACTAGTTGGCGGACATTTGGATTGTTTTTTTTCTTATGACTTACAAAGAATGCTTCTGTGAACGTTTACATACAGATCTTTGTGTGCCTCTGCGTGTTCATGTCTCTTGGGTTTGTACCTAGGAGTCGAATTGCTGGGTTGTATGATCATTTGTAGAGGCTTTTTAATAAACCATCGAACCTGCCTCCAAAGTGTGTGTACCTCTTTACATTCCCTCTGTCAATGCATTCCTCAGTTGGATTTTAAAATCAAATATGTGATTGAAAGAGATGAGTTCGTTTTTTAATTAATTTTTACTTAGCCTAGTATCAAACAAAAAGCAGGGTTTAATAAATATTTATTATCAAGTGATTCTGCTCTTTTTCAGTCTGTATCCTTAAGGGATAATCACAGCCTTACACTACAATGATCTTAGGTTCCAGGCCCTTCGTTACCATGGTGATTGCTGTTGAAAATGTTCATCTGCAATGGAGTTTTGTCAGGGATTAGTTGTACCAAGACAAATGAATGATTGTATGTGCCATTTTCAATGAGCAGTGAGCAATGGGCACGGCGTGAGGCACTTAGCCGTAGAAAGCCCCTGACGTCGGTGTGTTTCTCCTAGGAGTCCCGAGGAAATGCAGGGGTGGATAAACAAAATCAACTGCGTTGCAGCCGTGTTTTCTGCACCACCGTTTCCAGCAGCCATTGGGTCTCAGAAGAAGTTCAGTCGCCCACTTCTGCCGGCCACTACAACAAAGCTGTCTCAGGTAGGTCATCTGGGTAATGCTTTGACCTTGGAAACATCGGTATTTGAATATTGCTTCATATTTGGGGGCCAGGGGTGAGACCTTGCCCTGGGAGGACCTGTTGTTCGAATGGGTCGAAGTGAAGGGTGCTGGGGTTTTCACTGCACAGAGGAAGCCGACAGCCGAGTCAAGGAGAGTAGGACACTTGAACTAGTTTCTAAAATGTGTAGCAGTTTACTATCCGGTCGGTCATACAGGCCTGGCTTTTCTTGTTTTGTTTGTACTAACAGCTCATATTTTTGAACTCACTAGCTAATGTTAGATATCCTGGCTTGGAAACAAGCTTTTTATATATTCTCTCAGGTTTTTTTTAATTGAGGTTTTCTCATCTCCCAGGCTGTATTTGACGCTAAGTATATAAAAATACTCCCGGGGACACTGTTCACAGCTGAGTGGGGCAGAGCCTTCCCTCCCCGTCGGGCAGAGCTAAGGGCACTGTGTGGGGGTGCCCAGCGAATCAGGACTCAGTGCTCAGACTCTGTTCTCGTCCTTACATACGCCTCTCTCCTGTGTCAGACGGATCTCCCTAAAGATCACATTTTATCGCGTCCCTCTCCTACTTGAAACTCTGCGCTAAGGACATTGCATGCAACCCAGGGGTGCCAACTTTAAATGTGTCCACAGCACTCTGTTGCATTGGCTGCTGCAGGATTCGAGGAGCTGCTTCGACGTCTGCTGTGAATTTCTCTGGTACAATAGAAATAGTTCCATCCATCTCTGAGCAACCAGGTCTTCATATTAACTGGCTCCTCTAAACATTTGATGTCACAATTATCAATGATACCTTTATTGAATGAATTTGCATTATGTGCCTGTTGTACTTCAGAAACTACTTTGGGTCTGGAGATAGAAAGGCAAAAGAAACCCAGATGCTGAGAATGGACTGTCAAATACAAATGAGCAAGTCGTTGTAACACAGCTGGATAGAGGGACAGGAAGTCTAAGTCCAGAGTGCTGTGGGGGCACAAGAGAGGGAGTCTGTCCTGGCCGTGGCAGGGAAGGAGGCCATGTGATACTATTAGGAACTTAAGGATGAGCAGCAGTTAGATGTGCTCGGGAAGAGAATGGTCCAGCAGGGGATCGAAAGGCCGAGGAGCAAGCCCTGGGGTGCAGGAACCACACATAGTGACCAAATGTGATTTGAGCAGAGTGTTGAGAAGAGGCGAGAATGTTCCTCTAGTCTGGAGGGCGGCAAAGGCCAGCTGATGAAAGGTCGTGTTACACATGGGATTTGGGTGCTTCACTAGTTCCCCAGCATCCTCAGGGTGACACTGTGAAAGCAGCAAAGTAACATGATTCGATGTGTGCTTTAAAAGTCATTCTTGTCACAGTAGGAAGGAGGTATTAGAGAAGGAAATTGCCAAAAGCAGAAAGGCAATTTTTAAAATTTATTTAGTTAGTTTGTTTTAGAAAGAGAGGAAGAAAGACAGAGAGAGAGAGAACATCGAGTTGGTATTCCACTCACTTCTGCATTCATTGGTTGATTCTTGTGCCTTGAGCAGGATCAACGCACAACCTTGGTGTATTGAAACAGCACTCTAACCAACTGAGCTAGCTGGCCAGGGTAGAACAGCCGATTTTAAAGGCATTGTCAGTAATGCCGAGGATAATAACAAGTCAGTTGTAGAAGAGATGGATGGACGTGGAGGCAGGTGAGAGAGCTCGAGGGGTAGATGGATTACCCTGTGGCTGGTTGAGGTGGAGGAATAGGGCTGTCATCTAGGCTTGAGCAGCTGGGACTGTGGTGTCTGACCTGGCCCTGGGGACCTCGCTGTCTCCTGGTCTCCCTCCTGTTCTTCCTTCCTTGGGTTCTTCCCCTTTTTCTGACTCCAAATGTTGTAGTGCCTGGTGCTCCGAAGAACAGATACTTGACAAACTTTTTTAAGTTAGCTGAGAAGAAACGGAGAATGTTGTGCCAAGAAAAGGGAGAAAAGTCAGGTAAAATCAGACCAGAAACACTCCTGTGACGTGGCAGAGAGGTCGTGGGTCCCTTGGTGGGAGCAGGATGAGTGACGGGAGGAGAGGCCACGTGGTCTTCCTGGAGGAAGAGAGGAAAGGCAGTGGGAAGTGGAGGAAGGGAATGTGTGTAAGTCCTGCTGTAGGTTTATACAAGACAGACTGGCGGGAAGAAGAGGAGGACATGGTTTCAGGAAAGATTCTTTTGTTTTTGTAAATTTGTCATGATTATTGACACGAATTCTCACCATGTAAGCCATTGCTAGTATGCCGTAGTTCATAGACTTCGGAGAAAACTGGGAAGAACAGGAAGGACTAGGCCAGCTCACGCTGCAAGGCAGAAAGGCATTGAACTTTCAAGGATAAGAAATACTCTAATGTCAAAGGAAGGCTTTACCTCTTATTGATGACCAGAGAGCATGTTGGCAGTCTTCTCCATCTACCCAAAAATATGGACTCTTCCCGCTTTATTTTGGATATTTAACATGATTTTAACCTCACTGTATTAACATAAACAGTAAACCACATTACACAGGTAAGATGAGAAAACACAAACTGGAAGCAAAGAGTACCTTTAGAAGGTGGGTTTGTTCTATTCACTTCACTAGGGATTTCCCGGTGGTTATTTTTCCGCAGATTGGTCTTCTCGCAGTTACTGCTATGAAAGATTCGGGGGGAAGGTGAGCTGAGGTTAAGGGGGAATAGTAATAAGCAAGAGCAACGTAAGAGTTTTTCCTTGTTCTTTCCTCACAACAGAATCTACATTTCTGTTTACTTTCTCCTTTGAAAAGTGTACTATTGTCCTATTTATGTGTGGGCTGTTAGTAAGTCACTTGTCCATGAAAACGAACGTGTCCCTCCACTGTGTGTTCTTACCATGAGACCGGCGAGCAAGTGCCTTTGTCAAGGCAGAATCTCTCATTTAAATAAATCTCACACTGGACCTAAAAATAGGATGCATACAATTTTTATACATTTCCTCATTTTGAACATAAATCCACAGAAGTGCAAAAAAATGCATATGTAATGCAATCAAAATGATGAATTCAAGATTTTAAATAAGAAAGCAATAACCAAAAAGAAGAATCTTCTTGTGTGACATAAGACAAGATAACCAAGTCCTTTCAGGAATTTAATTTCTTTGTAAAAGAACAAGATGATTTCCTTTCCTACAAATAAATCACCAAGCCTTTGTGGGCCTCAGTTTTCTATCTGGAGAATGAAGAGATCATTCTAGAATGTTTCATCACTAGCTCTGTTCGTTCTTTCTTTCTTTCTTTCTTTCTTTCTTTCTTTCTTTCTTTTTATTTATTTATTTTTGCCCAGGTCATCATGTATGTTTATTAAAAATGAAAAAGAGTTTCTACCTTTGTGAGAAAAGGACAGTTTAGAGACAGCTGTGCAGGCCCAGCACGTGATGAGGACGGGTTCGAAGGAGGGGAGAAGGGTTAGGCGCACACAGGCTTGGGGCGCCCTCCGCTTCAGCTCTTTGCTGGACTCGCAGTGCGCCCCGTGGACCCCAGGGTGTCTGGGTGCCCACGTCCCTCGGTGCCTCGAGGACCTGTCCTCACCCCGCAGCCAGGCGCGCTCAGCCCCGGCGCTGCGGCATCTTGGCCTGGAGAGCTCTTTGCTGTCTGGTGAATTGTGGGGGGGTAGCAATATCCCCAGCCCCTGCCCACACCACCAGTATCTCCCCCCAACTGGAACAACCAAAAATGTCTTCAGACATTTCCCAGTGCCCTGTGGGGTCAGTGTCCACCCCTGCGGTCGAGAACCTCTGCCGTGCACCCCCACCTGGCTGACTCCCCTCAATGCCAGAACCACTGGGATAACTTTCATTTACAAAATACATGTGCCACATTGTGAGTGTCCTGCTGGACAAAAATCTAACCGTGTTAGGGAAAAACTAAACATTCAATTAAAAGATTGTTCACTGCTTTTAAAGACACACTGTTCATCACCGTGTCATTTGCAAGTTTTAATTTATTCTTGTCTTCCATCCAAAACATGTTAGCCTTCATTATCAAAACTGATCATTGTCAGTGAGCGTGGCTCTTTCTGAACAACTGTGCTGTGTAGGAGGGGCCGCCTTCTCCCGCTGGTTTTCGTGGTGGCATTGCCAGAGCCCATTTTTCCGTGGTTGGGCGGAGAGCCCCATGTGAAAGCTTAGGTTTTGTTTCTTCTTCTGGTGTAGACTCCAAACAGGATTGCACAGTCGGCCCTCTCCAGGACCTATTCAGGGTCTCCTTTCTACTCCTCAGAGTCGTCATTTTCAAACTTCAGCGTGCGCAGGATGATAGAGGTAGACCTTTGCACCCACCCACCAGAATCTACAAAGTTTGTATAGAGGCCTTCACTGGGTTCAGCCATGCACGCCATCCAGATGGTCTCAGCAGCACCTTACTCTCCAAGGCTGTGACCTGGGGGTGGTTTCCAGTGTGTGGAAGGCAAGCTGAGTACGCATTCCAGGGTTAGGGGAGGGGACGAGGAGCCTCTGACCATTGAGGGTCAACCAGCAGTCACAGCCTCTCCATGACCATCTCCAACAGGCAGACACCGGGGGGGACTTCAGAGGAGGAAGTCATTCTCGTAGCCATGCCCCGCACTGGCCAGAACCACTGCCTTCCCACCGCATTCACCTGTGTATTTTCAGTCACAAATCTTGTCACCTCTTCAATATTTTTTATATTCTACCCATTCCCCTTAATTCAGACTTCTGTCGTCTTTTACCAAGATCACTGGTCTCCTGACTTTTGTTATCACCCACTTTATCAATATTAAATATTTGAGCAGATGTCCTACAGTATATGTATTCTTTATATAAAAGGTATCGCATGCCCTACTATCAATACAACATGAAAAAATACTGAACATCATTAGTCATTAGGGAAATATAGTACTAATCAAAACCAGGAGATACCACTTTACTCTCATTAGGGTGGCAGTAATTTTTTAAATCTTTTTATCTAAAAGAGGGAAATAATGCATTGGTGTGGATGTGGAGA